TTTTTAATTAAAGCAGCTTAACTTTGTAATTTGGTCCTAACTGAATCGCAACATCTTCCTAAGATGATTTTCTCTCTCTGAATTGATTATTTTTGTTAAATATGAATGTTTAGGAATTACTACAGGTTGCAAAAGATTATTTCAATTTCTTCCTTGATTAGATTGGCATTCATTCCAATGATTAGTACCACCAATATTATTATTTGACCAACTAAAAATAGGATGGTTCCTCTAACCTAGATTATATGTATTTGAATATGGATTGCTTTATATTTTAGTCAAATTCACATTCTCAAATCCTTGTGCATTATTATCATCAATAAAATTTAAATTATGCTCTTTTAATTGAATAGATGATCATGATGTTGAACTAACTTCAATAGTGTTTAACTTTTTAGAAATAATAAATACATGTACAATTAAAAAAGATAATACATCTGAATCATACACGCCAGCTACTCTCTTAGGATTCATCTTATGAGAAGGCCACTAAAAATTATTTGTAGCCATTTGCTCAATTAGTTCATATGCGTCCTCAAAATGACTTATATATTAAAGATCCTCCAACTACTGCATCTATCAATGACCTAAGGGATCCTACCAATCTATTGTAAAAAGTCCAAATAACTAACTAATTGGGAATAGTATTATGAATTCATTTCCTAAGTTTTTTTTTTTTAAATCTCTCCAAATTTTCATAAATTGACTCTCCCTCAATTGGGCAAAAGATATGATATCATTCCTAAGTTTGGTAGTTTTTAAAGGTGGGAAATACTTAACTAAAAATTTGTTTGTCAACCCATTCCAAGTGATTATAGAGCCTAGGGGAAAAGAATCAACTACTTCATAACTTTGTCCCTTAGAAAAAATGAGAATAATCTAAGTTTAATAGCATTATCAAAACATCATTATACTTAAATGTTACACAAATTTCTAAGAAGTTAGCTAAGGGTAGGTTGGAATCTTCAACATGAGCACTCATAAACTAATAATTTTGAGTCATTTGAATTATGGAAGGTTTTAGTTCAAATTTATAGGCATGATAACATATTTTTTGATAATATGATGATTCTTTTTACTACAGGGTTAGCATACTATCTAAGATGTCTAGATGGTCTTGATATTATACTAGGTCAAACATTTTTTTTAATCTTTTTATTTTTTATAAAAATTTAAGAGTCATTTCTATCTCAAAATCAAACTTCATGGGCTCCTTACTAGATCTACTAAACATGTAACAATGATAAAACAAAACAAATATCATAAATTAAATAATTAATATTTTTTTATCTTTTTTAAAATTTTAACAAAAAAAAAGATGCAGGGTACAAGTAGGTCTAAATATGCATTTATTTTAATAATATAATTGAAAATTATAATATGCACATTACTTCCTCGTTAACGGTGCCAAAAACTTGATGGGGCTGATTCAGTTAGCTGTCAATGATATGCGTTAAACACGAAACTAATGTGCAATATGAAAATGCTTAGATTTTCTTTGATATAAAAATAATAAAAGCCCACTAAATATGCAATTATATGTGCCGATCAAGTAATAAAGCGATAAAGAAGAGTGTCAATCCCACGAAGACGTATTCTGCTTAATTGCAATTAAACTATTACCCTCAATATAAATGCACAAGTTATCCTACCGAATGTAAAATAGATATTTTTTCCTTGTGGTAGAGACTTTGCAATAAAATTGGATACTAATAAAAATAAAATATTTTGGACTAATGAATGCAAGAAAATATAGTTTTCCTAACGAGTCTCTTAATTTTAGATTTAAATTAGAGCATATGCATACTTAGATCTCTATCAAGCTTGTAGGGATGAAAATGGAGGTTTAAGGTCTTCTTATAATTATACTATCTCTATAGAACTTAGAATGTTTAACATCTTATATCTAGGTATGCAATCATTCTATTTTAATACTCCTATTTATTCTAATATTTCTCTGTCAATATCACACTAGATTTTAATTGCATACATGACCATTATATGCATTAAATAACTAACCAGAGATATTGAAAGCATCTATAAGTAATTCAAAGTACAATAATCTGCATTAGTATTTGCTATATGATTACATCATTAGCCCAAAACTTAATGATTCAACCAAACATGAATAACATAAAAAAGCAAATTCATGTTCATTTTATTCGTATAAGAAAAAGACACTGGAGAATGAATAAGATAAATGTCACATGTAAGGATCAATTGATATTCTCCACACTCCTTCCTATAATAAAATTACTTATACAATATAGGCTAAGATCTCTTAAATGGAAGTATCTTGTACTTTCATAGCCTCACTTAGACTTTACTCTAAGGGAAAACTAAATAAAAACACTACAAAGTACAAGACTCCACTAAAATGAAAGAACACTCTTACCAAAGAATTGAACAAAATATTTATACAAGTGTAGAAATGAACTCAGGCACTATGAAGCTCGGTGGTATAAAATGAACTAGCTCCTTGGTGCTATAATGCTTGCTCCGCTGCATTGCTGAGCTGACCTGGCATGATTAATGGTTGAACTAGTGCATTTTTTGCTGAGTTAGCGTGCCATTTTGATAGTTGTTTTGTCATGTTTTGTAAAAGTTGAGCATTGCAGTGCTTGAAAAATGTAATCTAGTGTCACGGCGTTGTGATGAACAGTGCTCTGGTGCCCATTTTCCTAAGACTCCAGTGCTGTGGTGCTAATTTCCAGGGGGGTAACGTTGAAAGGCACTGCCGCGCTGACCTTGGCTCCGTCGGAGCACTTACTTTTACGTAAATTACTTAGAGGGGCGGCAGTGCAATGTTAAGAATAGGCACTGGGGTGTTGTAGATGGCCACACTGCGACATTATATTAGTGGGCGCTACGCTGCTCATTCAATACTTATAATTTTTTTTCCTTCTCATGAATATTTCCTATATAAACACAACTAAAACAATACATTTTTATCGAATTTAAACACAATAAATAGGATACAATTTATACTTAATAGGCTTGTGATGCATTATACATCCCATAACTACAGTAGCATCTGCAATTGCTCTTAACAATAATGGTAGAATTCTAAATCAATATTGGAGTGCACTAAAGCATGATATTATTTAGGCACTAGTTTGTGTAAATGATTGGTTATACACAAAACAATACTTTATTATTCACCTTTATAGACTCTTCCATTTGTTTAAAGTACATTTATAAATATCAAGTTTTTTTAAGAGCTCATATTCATTTTTTTTATTTGTTGCAGTATTACATGACCCTGAACTTGATGCAAACTTGATGCTATTACTAATGATATCCTTAGTTTAGATGTGAACTAAATTGATGGAGAACCAGAGGAAAGTTCAGTTATTAGATGATTTTAGTTGCTGTTGTTGTTTGAGGGGAGCTTGTTAAAATTCTTGGCTATTGGACATCTACTGATTAGTTGCTTTATTATTTATAACCATTATTACTTTTTGGCACTTTGCATTAAAATAATATTAACCCCTTAGTCAACAAAGCTCTAGTTAATCGGTTGTAGGCATTTCAGGATTCACTATGTAGCCTTGTAGGTTTGTGCAGGAATGCATTGCTTGAATAACCCATGTAGTTAGATTGCTAAAAGCTTGAAACCTGCAAACTTCATCTTGGATGGTAATATTTATTACACTAATATTTCATCATGACCAATGATTTGGAGGGTTAATTGAGCTATGTATATAATTTTTTTTGTTATTTAATTGATTTTGTTGCAATTAAATATATATGAAGATAATTATTGGGGGAGCAATTGAGCAAAGCAGCAATGCCAACAAATTATAAAATGATGTATAAACTCTTTTGTATTTTGTAAATTGATTTGTAATTCAGCAAAGCAGCTAGGTTGCATTTGTAATTCAGCAAATTGTATGTTGTGCACTGTTTTGTGTTGTTGTAAAATATTTTTTTAGCATTTTGTATGCTGTAAATTGATGTATTCTATAAATGGTTTTGTATTCATGCTGAGAAATATAACCTGTTGTGCTCACTGTTTGCTATAAACTTTATAATTTGGAATTTGTAAACTATTTATTGTTCAATTATTGTTACATATGCCATGTTTAAATTGTTTTTGATTTTTTGCTGAGAAATATATGTTGTTGCTGTTTAGGCTTCATTTGGGGCGGCTTTCTTATTGTTTCTTAAAGCAGCTTTTTTACTAAAAAATTACTTTAAGAAGCAGTAAGAAAGCCACCCCAAATGAAACCTGAATGTATCTCACTGTGTGATGTAAACCTGTTGTGTGCTATGAACCTGTTGTGTGCTAAAACAGCTCTGTTTATCCCCAAAAAAAATTGTGAAACCTGCACTGTTAACAAAGAAACTGTCTGTCAATTCAAAACTGGTTGATGCGTCGTGTCGGGTTGACAGGGCTCTGAACTGAGTTGAGTTCGGATATGAGTTGGCGACCTATTTTTAAAAATGAGTTAAGTCAAATTCAGATGGGTCAAATAATGGCGGGCCAACCTCGATCGGACCGAAAACCGTTTTCACACACCAAAGTAAAATCCTCCGGGCGCTCATTCCGGCCCAAAATTCATTTTAGTTCTGCTAGATTACGCAAATCGCTCCCCCGAACGGTTCCTCCGACAAGAGGTGAATTCGTTTTCTGTGACGGCTAAAGGTCAGAAAGTCATCCACTTCTTTTACGTTCTTGCTTTCACCGCCGCAAATGCACAGTAATTGGTCGGAGGGAAAAAAAAACCCTAGTTTTTTGCTACCCACCATGTTAAAGTTTCGGTCTTTAGATTTGAAATGCTTATTTCTAACTACTCGTTTTGTTCGCTTTCATACTGCGGGTATTGGAATACAGAAGTTGATCTATGGGGACGCCAGCAGTGGAAGTTCTTACCCCGTTGCAGGTACTATTCGTATCTTTTTGTTTTGTCCTTTATGGGTAATTTCATTTCGTTTCTTTGTTCTGTGGTGATTATCTACTAGGGTGTGTTTGGATGCAGGATTTAGCCTAAATCCTGCCAAGAAGCAAAAATGACAACTTTAAATCCTACAAAAACTTAAATCCCGTTCCGTCTCCGTTTTGCCTTAAATCCTGGATTTAGTAAATCCGATTGTTGGGTGGATTTATGGGATTTAGTCGAAGAAGCGCGCGAAAGGGGTGAAAGATCGTTACTTTCGAGGCAAGCTCCTGTCGTAACTTCGGATCCCAAAGAAACAACGTCGTCAAAACTATACTTCACGTGAAGCATGCGATGTAGGAATGAAGAAACGGAGAAGAGGAAACGCAAACCCTAGACATATGTAAGGCTATAGGAAGAGCATAGACAAAGACTAAAGAGAAGAGAAATTATAGAAATATAGGGGAAATGCCAGAGATGAATACCGTCTAGGGCGTTTTTGGCTACTATCAGCTTTCCTTATTTGTGCTTTTCTTTTTCTCTTTGCAGGTTACAGTAATATCAAATCATGTGTTAAAGAGAACCAGAAATTGAATAATGAGGAAATTCAATTTATATGATTGATATTTAGATTTTCATTTAGAGGTGGAGGTTAAATAATTTTTTTGTTAATTTAACATTAAATTAGTTATGATATTAATATATAATAAGTATGATTTAATTAATCTAATTAGGATTGAGAAATATTTTTTGAATTATGATTAATAATATTTAGTTATGTAAATTAGACAAATAAATTAATTTTAATAATTAATATTAATTAATTAAAATATTATTGAAATTTTATTTGGTTCAATAACTTTAAATCACGAAGTAACCAAACAGTTCATCTAGATTTAATTGAATTTAGTCTCTGTAATGCCAATAGTTTTCAGGATTTAACTGCCTTAAGATTTGATGAATCTAGATTTATAAAATTTGCTAAATCTTATTGGAGCCAAATAGGCCTCTGGTTTGCTAGTTTTGTTGGTTTTAGCACACGAAATCAAGATGTATTTTTGGTGCTTCTTGGTTATCTTATTAATGGGAGTGATACAATTGGAAGCTGATGACTTGGAATCTGTTGGGCTTATGGATGGTTATTTTTGCACAATAAGTTGATCTTTTATGCTTCTTAGTTCTGAGATTGTGTTTTTTGAATATAAGATTAGTCATGTATTACCAAATAATCCTGGGGAAATATAGAAGGTTGGTTGTTTGTGTTATGTCAAAAGGAAAATTCTAATGCAAAATTTTTAATTTCAAACAAATATATTGTAATTTATGCTTGATTAAATATGCATATTAAACCAACCTTAACCTGCTCTGTACACAAATTTATTTTTTGTTTTATTTTTTAATTTGGGAAATGTTGGTCCTTTTTGTGGGAAGCAATGCTCCATTTATTCGTACAGCAAGCGACAAGTCTTGAATGCATATCACGATTCAGCTTTCTCATAGGCTGTACATGCAGAAGCCCAATAATCTTGGATTCTTGGCTGACCTACTGGGTTGTGTAGTCTATGGGAAAATTTAAATATATCAGTCAACTATTCATTTTCTACATTATTTAGGTTTCTAATCTAAAGTTCCAATAGATGGGCTTTTTTGTTGATAATGATAAAATTTGAATCACTCCATAATTTCTTGGAAATTAACTTTGATTTCTAGAATATATTCAATTGATTTTTTTAAGTTTTGATTTGAAGCAATGAGCTCAAATTGATTTTGAGTTGACAGAGTATCAAGTGGGCTCAATGCATATATTAACAACAAAATTTGCTGTTATTA